GTGTGACTAAGCAATCCCACAGCAGTAACTTCAGTTTTCCTAAATCTCCCAGAAATATCACTATGGAATGAAACTGCTCTTCTTAATACTTGGGAATCTCTTTGGGTCTTACATGTCCCATTTCCTGGGACAGTCTTTCATCAACCCTTTCTCCAAGCCTCTTTGATGATGTTGTGGTAGCAGCTTGTACAGCCAAAACAATCATTGTCACTTCATGAACTGTACAGAACATATATCTCTGTCCTTAGCAGAATAGTTCATTTTCTAAGCCCATAAAACATCAGTCACTAACATAAAATAAATTATGCAAGTGTCTGAAAGCCAAGTACGACACTATCTAAAGCACTAGTAAAGGTAACTGACCATAAGTAATGCACTCTAGATGAGCTGATGACTTCAAGGTCATAGTTTTTTTTTTTAAGTTGCAACTTGAAAAAACAAGGTACAGGAAATCTTGAAGTTGATGCTAGACTCCTGTGTAGTCAATTACTTTGAAGTGAGAAAAATATTGATTTAAGGAATTTTAAAACTATATACATAGTCTAGATATCAACAAGAAGACACTATTGAAAGGATAAGGACATTCGTCAATGGTCATACTCAGAGTGCAACATTTTGTCAACACCCACTGGTGGAACTATTATTCTCTTAATTTGAAATCAGGAATGCAATGCATTTCATTGTTAGAACAATGTTGAGTAGATCTTTGTTGGTGTAATTGGAGATGAAAGTCTTTACTTCAAAAGGCAAAAGTGAAAGATTTTCCCCAGGTAATTAAACATGACACTTAATATTATTTTCCCCAGTGATACAAAAGACTCGAATCTTAATGTATCTATCTTTAACATCCTAAATGTATTTATTGATTAATAACTGATATGCATTATTTCCCAAACATCAAGTAAGTTCTTTAAGTTGAAGAATAGTAGGCTGCTTTGGAAATGATATTAGAATCTTTAAAAAATTTTAATAGTAATTTAAAATAAAAATGTTATTTGCATTTTCATTCAAATGTTTAAAAATGGATAGATGTTGGGAATGGTTCGAATTTCTTAGGTAATTCTGCAGTCCTCAACTGACTGTATATGGAGCATTTGGTATTGTGTGCCTACAAATCATATATATATGCTTATCACATATATGCAATTCATATGTCTCTTCATATTTTTTCTGTATTATAAAAGCATGTTAAGACCAACATCTACCAAATGGAAGAATGATTAACAAATTCATCATTTTAGATACTGTTATATTAGTGTTAGTCCTTTACGTTTTATATGCTTTTTTTTTTTGAGACAGTCTCGTTATATTGCTGAACTCGTGGAGTCCAAGTGATCTTCCCACCTCAGTCTTTCAAGTAGCTGGGACTATAGGCAGGAGCCATCATGTCTGGCTTATATATTCATTTAAGAAAATTTCCTGAGACTGTTGAAATTTAACTTGAACAGAGCTCAGTTTCCCATTCTGCAAAACAAAAAAGACAAGAATCATTCAAATATATTTATTAGATACCTGGTATTTGTCTGATAGTTTTAGGTACTTTTTGGTAGATATTATTTCTAGATCCTTATAACTTTAAATCTCTATGAGCAAGCTGGGTCATAATCTGGGTCAGTATCTTGACATATTGACACTATAGTCCAGACATAATTTACTTACATGAATGAATAATTTGGATCTACAAAATCCTGATTTGTAGATTATAATGCATGTTTATGCTTAATACAGATTTTTCAATAAATCAGGAAGGTATAGGATGTAATTTTTATGTTATTTCTATTTTATTTATTTATTTAAAGCCTACAGCACCCAGTATTCCAGGTGGTCTCCCATCCAAGTACCAGGTCCCACCCTGCTTAATCTTCTGAGACTGGACAAGGTCAGGTGCATTCAGGGTGGTATGGCTGTAGACTTATATTATTTCTAAAGAAAAGGATGGTTAAGTTAATTAGTGATGATAAGGTTTTTAAATGAAACATTTAAATCTCCAAGAGCAACTAACTCTTTATGAGCTTCCATCAATACCTCAGGGCATTCTCTCCTGAACAAATTATTCATATGCTGAAAACTAATCATGTCGCATTGGACAAACTCTCCAAGGAAAATGCTTGCTTGCATAGGTCTTGTTAGCCACTGAATTGGTAAGTTTATTTACATATATTCTATACTTGAATCTTTTTCTTCATTCTCATAGGTTCTTCCAGACTAACAAAAAATAAGGTTGCAGGTGAATTTCACATGCATAAGAGATTCATAATGGAGAGAGCAGGACTGGGCATTGAGTTTGAGCGTGACTTTTCAGAGTAATAGGATGAGTAATTTACCTCTCTAGGTTTTGTAGCCTTCATTTGTAAGATGATAGCTTCATTCTAGAGAGTGATTTCAGCTGTGTTCCTCAGAACCTTAGTTTGGTTGACGTTACCTCAGGGACTGCAAAGTGGAGTCTGAGTGGAGGAAGCACAGTCATATTCTTCTTTATTGGTTTTATTTTCAGAGGTTCTATCTTTGATTTCCAAAAACAAAACAAAACAAAACCCCATTTTTTCTACTGCAGAAATCAGTATTTCTAAAGCCCATTCCAAGTAAGCAATCCTATAATTCTGTGAATATTCAATATTTCCCTTACTTGAGTGAGATTATCTTATGTTCCACCAGGTCACAGAGAGTGCATGGAGATTCTGCTGGCAAATAATGTTAACATTGACCAAGAGGTACCTCAGCTTGGAACCCCCCTGTATGTGGCCTGTACCTATCAGAGGGTAGATTGTGTGAAGAAACTTCTAGAATTAGGTAAGTACTAGAAATCTGTTTATGAGAAAAACCTGCTATACTTGCTCTTTTTTTTTTGTCTTCAAAGATGAAGTTCTTATCAGGATAGAAGAAATTCTGATCCCATTTAATGTTTGAGTGCTAAAAACAGAACTTCTCCAGAGAAATGATTATCTATATTTCTCAGTTCTGCTTCCTTTGATGTTGGCTCCATTTACCTGGGATGGTTCTCTCTGGAGGTCTCAAGATGGCTGCCAGCAACAACTGGGCTTGTGACTTTTCTCATCCATACACAGCAAGAAAGGGCATTGGCTGATTTTGAGCCATTTGCCCAACTCTAAACCAATCATGGTGTCCAAAGGAATACTGTGTAGTGACTGGTTGAGGCTGGGACTGCAGTTAATCCTTCAGTTATTAGGCTTCTCTGGGAATATAACAGATACCAGTAAACACAATAGACATTTGCCACAGACTATTTTACATCTGTCCAGCTAAGTTATTTAGTCATTTTTTTAAAAATTCTAAACTGCGTATGCAGAAACTGAGATTCCAGGGAAAAGTAAAATACCTTGAAACTATTATTTGGTTAAAGATTTAACACACTGAGCTGTGGACGTAAAGTGGAAGTTGTAGTAAGAACCTTTATTGAGAATTTTTTTCTCCAAGATTTTTTTTGGTTTTTTATTCCTATAACTTACTATTCTCTATAGTCAGTTCAGAAATCTTTAATAATATAAATACTAAATAAATTTGCCTTTATCTTTTGCTAAAAAACAAAATTAACTCTGTGTAATAGGAGCCCTAAATATTTTGTGTCACAGATTTTTGTATGAGAAAGCAACTAAAGTATTTTAAATGACCACCAATGTCTAAACTCACTTTTCACACCAAAATATTTTGGAATGGTGTTAGTAGGCTTTGCTGAGGTTCTAGGATGAAGTCACAATATTTTCAAAGATTTGTCAACTATATCATGGCATTTAAGATGTCTTTTTATACAGCATCTATATTTTAGGCTCATTATGTTTTATATTCACACTCCTTGTTGAATTTTGGCTATCTGGTTTATTAAGGAGCCAGTGTTGATCATGGCCAATGGCTGGACACCCCCCTCCATGCCGCAGCAAGGCAGTCCAGTGTGGAAGTTATCAACATGCTGACTGACTATGGGGCTAGCCTGAAGCTCAGAAATGCACAGGGCAAAAGTGCACTTGACCTGGCAGCTCCCAAAAGCAGCGTGGAGCAGGCGCTTCTGCTCTGCGAAGGTAAGGATGGGCTGAGTGTCTCCTTCTCTTCCCTAAGCACACTGCCAGCTCTCATCCTGTTTCATCCCTGGAACATTTTAATTTTTCTTTTCCCTTCCCTTTCCTCCTTTTCCCTCCCCTCCCCTCCCCTCTACTCTCCTCCTCTCCCTTCCCTCCTTCCCCTCCCATTACCCTCTATTCCCCTCCCCTTCATTCTGCTCCCCTCCCTTTCCCCTCCTCTCCCCCCCCTTCCCTTTTTCTGTCCTCTCCATTCTCCTTCCCTTCCCTCCCCTTCCTTTCCCCTCCCCTTCACTGCCCCTCTTCTCCCCTCATTCTTCCTTCCTTCCCCTTCCCCTCCTCTCCTCTTTCCCTTCCCTCCCCCTCCCCTTTCACCTCCCCTTCCTTCCTTCTTTTTCTTTCTTTCTTTTCCTTCCTCCCTCCTCTCCCTCCCTCCCTCCTTCCTTCCATTCTTCCTTCCTTCCTTCCTTCTTTCCTTTTTCTCTTTCTTTCAGTGGTACTGGGGTTTGAACTCAGGTGTTGCTTTTTTACCCAGGCCAGCATGGATTGTAATCCTCCTATTTTACAGTGGATGACAGGAATGTACCACCATGCCCAGCTTTTTTTCACTGAGATGGAGTCTCAAGAGCTATTTATTTTATTTCACTTTATTTTTGCCTGTGCAGGCCTGGAACCTTGATCCTCTTGATCTCAGCCTTCTAAGTAGCTTGGATTACAGCTGTGAGCCACTGGCACTCAGTTCCTTTTTCTTTTTCTTTTCTTAATTGGGGGTGGTATTGTGGGAAGCAGCAAAGACGTTACTGTGGTGATGTCTTCTGGGAGTTTTTGCATGCTGTGTTTACTCACATAAACATAAACCAAATTGTTGCTTTGTATTTTCCATAACAAGAAAATAATCAGACAACCTTGTTTTTACCATGTAAGGGTTGAAGAGCCAAGTCTCTCCTGGTATAAACATACAAAAGAGTAAGCCAAAACGTTGCTTTTTAATATTAGGAGGCAATCCATGGACAAATTAGAAATACAGGCATTGGTGCATAAGGACCATCGATGCCAGCCACATATACAACCCATGGTCCTGTAAGATTGTAGCACCTAGTGACATCAGAGCCATCTTAGTTTGTGTATATATACTCTATGATGTTCACACAACCATGAAATCGCCTAATGATACATTTCTCAGAACTTACCTAGTCATTAAGTGAAACATGACTATACTTGAGTTACAGGCAGTAGGGGGGACACATAGGGTTTATTTCAGAAGCCTGACTAAATGCTGAGGCTATTTGCCTATTCTCCAGATCTGGGAGTAGGTAGGTCTGCATTCCTCATTCCCTCACTCCCATTTCCACCGTAGGCATTAAAAGCAACTGTATAGATGCCAGAGGAGGAAAGGCAAGCTTCTGAAATACTTCATATCTCAAATTCAACAGAAAACTGATATCCTTGTAATAATAAACGTTTTCCCAGCCTTCACTGATTATCATCATTTGTATGCTGGGGAGAATATTAAAGATAATTGTAGTGGTTCAGATTTACATGTGCCAACACTGAGATAAATTTGAAACATTGATTAATCTCACTGAATTCTTAAAACTTAAAAACAGAGTGAACCTTATAGAAGCTGGTGCTATGCCAGATAGTAATGGGAAGAGTGAAGCATAGAGAAATTGGCTTACAGGGGCTGACACAGCTACTAAGCAGAACTAGAATATCAACCAAGCCATCTGACCCCAACATATGCACTCCTAATGCCTCAAGGCCTGAATCCTGAAACAATTTCCAGTAGGTAGGGGTATCCTGTCTCTCACTGTTTACATGGGAGTGAAAGCACTCCCATGTCTTATGTACCTTCCAAGTGGTATGCTTGATTTAATTGGTTTAAGAATAGTCTCTCTAAATCTGTGCCTCTTAAGCTTTAGTGTGTCTATAAATCACCCAGGGCCCTCATTAAATGCATGCTCCAATTAAGGAGGTCTGGATGGGGCCCTAGACTCTGCATTTCTAGCAGGTTTCAAAGTGAGGCTGCTGCTGCAGGCCTGAGGACAGTAGGAATACCACTGGCCTACATTATTTCCAATGGACCAGGTCATTAATGCTGCTATTTTAGTTGAATTTCCACTGGAAGAATTATGATCTTCCTTAACCAGATCTAGTTGAGAAAGGACCTTTGCAACAGTTAGCTGAAAAGATAGTTTATAGCACTTTGCACTTGTCTGTTTTCTTCCATCAAAAATGTTTTAGGTTTAGGATTTACAATCCTTATAAGCAAGCTCCTCTGTCCTCTATCTTAGTAAATATGGACACTTGCTCTAGAAGAATGAACACTGGCTGCATAACAGCTCACCCTGGTGCCTGGACTTCTGTAGACAAACTGGACAATTTGTCTGCACTACCATTTTTGGAGAACCTTGGTTGTTTAGTTATTTTTTTTAGTTCTAAAGGTCTGACCCCAGGCATAAGGGGCATCAGGTAGAGATGATTTCCATTCTCAATTCCCAAGATTTTAACTAAAAACGATTGTTTGGTATTCCAGGTAGCTCCAGGAGTACCAGACTCCAGGTTTTGATACTCACTTGGATGCTGCTTGTCAATGTTCATCTTAAGTGTCACCTGGCTACTTGTATATGCAGTCTACCATTTTTCATTGGGTATAAAATGCTGTTACAATAGGATTTTCTTGGGAAAAAAACCATTTGTATAGTCAGTAATTAGATCTACTTGAGGAAATCTTTACTGATAGTCATGTTAGGAAATAAGGGGTTAATATGCATGCACCTGTATAATAGTATTCTAGATAAAAGCTCATTCATCCCACTCAACCATATTTGGACACTCATCAGCTTATTTTCCTTAAGCATTCAAAGCTACTCAAAGCCACAGACACGATGACTCTATGCAACTCCATGAGAAGGATGTTCATAGAATAATAGGGTCTAAGTGATTTGAGTCCTTTCTTCACATCTCTATGGAACTGGAATCCTTGCAAGAATGGAGACCCTTCCAAATAGGAGGCAGGATCCAGCTAGCACCACCTTGTGCAGTAGTCCCAGGAGGTCCAGGAGGACATTGAGGGTTTTTTGGCCCTGGCCCTTCTCCTAGCACTGACTCTATGACCATACAGGTCAAATTTCTTGCTGATACTCTTTCTACACTCTTTCTACAATTGTAGAAAGAAAGCTCTGTCTTGGGGACCTGCATGCCCAGTGCTTTCATTTGTGTTTTCTCTTCAGCCAGCATATTATTTTCATTAGCAAGGCAATAATGAGGTACATTCCCTTTAGATGCTCCGCTGCTTTCCTAAATTGCCTCTGGATAGCCTCATTCTTCACTATCAGTAATACAGTCACCATTGGAGGATCATCTTAGAGAAAAGTGTCCCATCCAAAGGGCAAATTGAGTTCTTCTGTCTGTATTTAGTGTTTATTACCTTATTCTATAATTCCTATGCAGATCTAGCTTCTCTTCTGCTTTTAGAAAGTTTCAGCCTCTTTCTGTTCTCTGATCTCTTTCCCTCCTGCTCACCATGAGGTTCACACCATTTTTATTTCCTTTCTCAGGCCCACCTGCTCTTTCCCAGCTCTGCCGACTGTGCATCCGGAAGTGCTTGGGTCGAGCGTGTCATCAAGCCATCCACAAATTATGTCTGCCAGAGCCACTGGAAAGATTCCTTCTGTACCAGTAGTCCCAATTATCCACAGGAAAATACTCGGAAATAAGTAGGTTGTTGTCTGCTGTATAGACACCTAACAGCTAGATTCTGAGTATCTCTAATGAACTTGGACAATTAGAGTAAATCTATAATAAAACAGAATACGTGGGGCAGGCAAACTCCTGGTTAGTTTAATGTTCTCATTAACTAAGAGGCAACCAGAAACCTTTTAGTTTTCAGCTCTTATTGTTAATAAACTTTTAAAAAAACTGTGAAGTAGAGTAAAATAGTAGGCTATTTTCTGGTGAACCAGGATCCTCTACACTTAAGGGGTAGCATTTTGATTATTGTATAGACACATGTAAGTCTGGGGGGCATAAGATTATAATGAATATTAAATATTCCAAGATGTGTTATTGATTTACTTCCTCTCTTCTACTGAATTTCTTCTTTCTTTCCTTTCTTCTTTGAATAAATCTTTGCTGTAATTTCGATTTCCCTGACTTTTTAATATATAAAAAAGCTTAGTACCTTGGAAACATCACAGTTAACGGGGGCTTCCTGTTACTAAGGACCTGATAGATAAGAGATTTTGGAAAAGGTTAGCTCACCCAGAGGTTGAGCACTATTGTTCATCACTTCTGATATTAAATGCTCTCTTTCCAAGTAAATAGTTCTAGGATTGGGCAATACTGGGTCCCTTCAGTGACCTGAACTCACAGGCACTGTCTGGTGCATGTTGCAACACAAATATTAGTTTATTTTCAAAGTCAAGATTCTCAAGATGGTTTTTGAAATAAATTCATCTTAATGGCAGCCATCAAGGTGGGCTCAAAGCTGGAGGTAGGGGTGTAGCTCAAATGGAGGAGTGCTTGCCCAGCATGTAGGAAGCCCTGAGTTCAATCCCCAACACCACAAATCAATAAAGATGGGTTCAATGCTCACTCACTGTTTCTTCTGTGGTTGGGGACCCAAAATAAGCATGAAGGTGTATAAAGAGACTTTTCCTCTCTTTTCTTCTTCTTCCCAGCAACCTTTCTTCTGCCCACTCTCTGTCTCTTTCTCCTTCTTTTTGTGACTTTAGAATATGGGAACTTGATAGACTTTTCATTATTGTAAGTACTACTGATATGGTTCAGTGACTATAGGAATATTAGTTTCTAAAGTGAAAATGCCCTCTTACATTATCTTAAGATTTGTTCCAAATATGTTTTTCTAGGCATTTGGTTCTTAACTGAGAGCAATCCGCCCTCCTTCCTGGACATTTGGCAATGTCTGGAAACATTTTTGTTTGCAACAACTGAGGGAAGGGTGTTTCTGATATCTAGTGGGCAAAAGCTGGCTATTGAACACTGGAATTGGGGGTAGGCTGTTAAGATGTGCTGTAAGTATAAAATACACATCACATTTTGAAGATTTAGAAGAAAAAAGAATATGAAATATCTTATTAATAACTTTTCATGTTTGCCACACATTGAAATTATACTTACATGTATTGGGTTAAGTTAAACATATTATTAAAATTAATTTCATTTGCTTTTTTTTTACTTTCTAAAAATGTGACTATGATAAAAAATTTAAATTACATATGCAGCTCATATTATATTTCTATTAGCAATTCTCTAGACTTTTTTGAGTTTTACAAATTTGTAATATTTAACAATCTTAATTAGTTAACTATCTTAAATTGTAGTCCAAAAACAAATCTTAAATTTTTTGTAAAGGTTTAAAAAATTCAGTCAGGCATCATGGTGGCTCACACCTGCAATCCTAGCTACTCAGGAGGTAGAGATTAGGAGGATCATGGTTCAAAGCCAGCCCAGGCAAATAGCTCCTGAGACGCTATCTTGAAAAAACCCAACACAAAAAAAGGGCTGGTAGAGTGGCCCAATGGTAGAGCACCTGCTAGTAAGTGTGAGACCCTGGGTTCAAACCGCAGTACTGCTCTAAAAGTACTAGAAGAAAATAAACATGAAAGGGAAAACATTTTCTAAGCATATTATCAAAGGCAAAAACTTTAGAAGAAATACTGATAGATTAGAATACAGTAAAAATTTTGTTGCAAAAAGCACTATACATAAATTGAAAGAGTATGCCACATACAGGAAAACTGTATGTGACATTTATGGCAGATGGAAGGTTAGTGTTCCTACTCTGTAACCAAGACAAAGGAGACTTTGACTCCCTACCTTTAGCTTCCTTACCTTTTCCAGTGGAAACTGGGGAACAATTGTTTGGGATCTCTTTTGGTATAAAGGGACATTAAACTCTCACTTGTTTGAGTTATTGTTTATAAAATATCAAAGTTTTTCAGACATTCAGTGAAATGTTTGACATATATGATAACCTGCTTGTTTTAGGAGATTTTAAGGAAAAGGCTGTGTATGTATTATGTATTAGGTGGTGGCAAAAATATGAAAATTTATCTGTTTCCTGTGGGATGGCACCTGTCCTTCTGTGATAATTGGATGTGACAAGAAAAGCATAAACTCTTAGGAAGGGGAATCTTGGGGGAAGTCATGGCATGTTCCATGAAAGGAAGTACAATTTGCTGCAAATATTAAAGAGCAGAGTGATCTCATTGATATCTATACTTCAACATATGAATGTTTTGCTTATAAATTAATAAGACTAATACAGTTTCACTGATAAAAATGTTAACAATGGGATGAATAGGAAACTTATGAAAGGTAACACACAAATAGCCATAAGTAAAATGATGAAGATGAAAAATAGAGAAAAGATGTATTTGAAACAGGGTGAGGAACCATTTGAGCTATAGAAAGCTCAAAGAAGAAAGGGTGAGTCTCTTCCTATGAAAGAACATTTAGGAATTTGGGGCTTCCCTCTTCAAAATGTTACTATGAATGCATTTTTTGTTCAACTGTGATCTTGCCGAATGCCTGAGCTCTGTGTTAAGCCCTGGACCACTCTAGGATATTCAAAACACCTATGGCTCTGAGAGACTTGAAGTCCTGCTCTTCCATTGCTTTCTGAAACTGCAGACTATGGGTACCATAAGTCATTTGTACGAACCTCCCTACCCTGATAGGTATGTGTGGCATGTGTGTGTGTGTGCGTGCACCCAAACCCTGAACTGGGTCCTGAGAGACTGCTCACCAGGACCCATGTGATAATTCAGGTCCTTGAATTTTGTGTGGTATAGATGCCTTATGATTTATAAATGAAGGTACTATATTGGACACAGATAATCTTTAAATTTTCTTCAAGTCCCACATTGCACTAAATTGTATTTATACCATGGGATTAGTCATCTGGTTTTTATGAGATTATTTTGCCTGTGGTTTATTAATCACTCTTATAGATAATTTCATTTTTCATATTATGTAAGATGTTTTACTTCCAAAATATTTTTAATAATTTCAGTTATGTTTGAGGTACATTGGGATTCATATTCAAAGTACTCTAGGATAACTTCTCAGTCAAGATAGATAGATAGAGATAGTCCTGGGGTTTGAACTCAGGGCCTTGCGCTTGCTAGGCAGGTGCTCTACCAGTTGAACAATGCCTCCAGCACTTTATTGTTTAGCTATTTTTTTTAATAAGATCTCACATTTATGCTCAGGCTGGCCTGGACTGTGATCCTCCTATCTATGCTTTCCAGGTAGGTGGGATGACAGCCACATGTCACCACGCCCAGATTTTATTGGTTTAGATGGGGGGGGCGGCCTCGAGAACTTTTTTTTTGTTCAAGTTAGCCTCATACTGTAATCCTCCCAATCTCTACCTCCCAAGTAGCTAGTATTACAGATGTGAGCTACCATACCCAGCTTTTTACTCAACATCAATTATGTGCTGGGCACTGTAGAATTGTGTGAAAGACAGACAAGGTGCCTGCCCTTTGAAAACTTACATGTTAGTAGGGCAACAGGGAATAAGCAACACATAAATATATAGCATCGAGTCAGGAAGGGAAAAGAACAAAAGCAAAACAGATTTGGGTACAGTGATGATGGTGGGTTACTATTTTAGATAAGTTGATTAGTCAAGGTCTTTGGCAGGGTGACTGAATTTTAAAAATAATTATTCACTATGTGTATAACATTTATTAATTTTTACTGTTAAGGTTTTGATGATTTGTTTTAGCATATTTTCAGGACAGTAGTCTGCCCTTATCAGCAGGGAATATTTTCTAAGTCCCCCAATGGATGCCTAAAACCACTGATAGTGCTGAAACCAATATATTCTATGCCTTTTCTTATACATACCCACCCACACCTGTGATCATGTTTAATTTATAAATTAAACACAATAAGAGATTAATAGTAATAACTAATAGTAAAATAGAACAGTTAAAACAATATATTGTAATAAGATCATCTGAATATGACCTGTCTCTTTCTCTCTCAAAATATCCACCTGGACTATATCTACCCTCTGTTGCTTAGTGATGACACAATGCTTATGATGTAGGTAGGCATTGTGACATTGCATTAGTCTGGGGGTTATCAGAACACAAGCACTGTGATACTGCCACAGTTGACCTGCTTGCCAAGAGGACTACGTAAGTGATTAACTGGGATGGGACAGAGATGGTATAGTGTATAGAGTGGATACACAGAACGAAATGATGATTTATGTCCTGGGCAGGACAGAGCAGGATGGCACGAGATTTCATAACACTACTCAGAACTTTGTACAATTTAAAACTTATGAATTGTTTATTTCTGGGATTTCCCACTAGGTGTTTTCAGACCATGGTTGACCCCAAGTAACTGAAATCATGGAAAGTGAAACAGCAGATAAGGGAGATTACTGTACCCCATGTCTTTTATCTCTTTTCCTGTTTTAATGTAGATATCCTTTTATAAAAGTAGTTGTGATGTTTGCTTTTCTCAAAAACCTTATGGCAATGATTTTCTAAGTTTCAAATCTTTTAATAGGATTCTTTTAAATTGTTGTATCATATTCTTTAACTAATTTCATATTGTTGGTTACTTATTTCTAATTTCTTCCTGTTATAGATAACACTGGCATAAACTTTATTTTTAATAAATCTTTAAAAATGAAAGATTTCTGAGATTTCTAGAAATGACATTTACGTACTTATAAATATATTTAAAGCAATAGTTTAAAATAATTTAAAGTATATACATAATAAATAATTTTAAGGAAAAAATCTTTTTATTACCAAATGAATACCTAAGATTATTTATCTTATACTATTTTTCTATATATGTGTATGGATGGCTAGATACATGTGTATATCTCTATATATTGATGCACATATATTTATAGTTCATTTGTTGCCTATCATTTGTTGGTACCAATCCACCATTCGCCTTGACCCATTATTTTTAAAAATAATCTTATCTTTATCACTTGAAAAATTTAAACCTCAATACTTTTAATCCTTTAAATCCTTTAAATGTTTAGGTATGTCTTTCAACATCTCTAATTTTTTGTTCACATTTTATTAAAGAAGTGTTTCTCCTAAGTAATTTTCCCTCATGTTTCTAATATATTACCGTGTCAAATTAACATGAGGTTAGTGGAGATTCTTTTCTCACTAACAATGCTCAAAGCTGAGAACATTTATGCATGGACTACAAAGAGAATAGCTGACGCTTCAGACATTGCCTGAAGCTGCCATGGTGAGAGTTGAATTGCTGAATAGCTACAGTTGTCAGGGAGGATGTGCTCCCCACTGGAGGACATCACACTTTCTCTTATTGCAAATCACTGCCAAGGTCTTGTACAGATGCATTCTACTTGTATATGGAATATATCCTCTTATTCCCTTAGCAGAGTCTGTACCAAAATGAATACATTGCTCACCCTTGGAATAGCAGTTTCCTATCTAAACAAATTTAACTTGTAAAAAGTGTATACCAGATTTTAATTGTCACTAATTTCTCTTTCCCCACCATTGTTATATCTTGAAAAGCTTCTAACTTACAGAAATATTGCAAGAATAATACAATAAATACCTTTGTGTGCATCACCTCAACTCATCAAACGTTAACATTTCTCTACATTTGCTTCTCTCCATGTATTCATGTATGCATGAACACATGTGTATGCATACATGCACACACATATATATATACACATATGTATTCACACGTACATGCATCTGTATAATATATACCTATATATGTGAACCATCTGTGATTAGTACATATGCAAATATTTTTAAATGAATTCTTTGTAAGTTGCAGGCATTGTGATCCTTCACCAGGGCTAGTATTAGGATGAGGTGAGTGAGGCAAAAAATTTAAGCAGGCATCACAAAACTCAGTCTAAATATTATAGTGCAGTGTTTTTAAATGTCAATGTTAAGGCAAAGAGCTCATCATGGCCAAAATACCAAAACTTTTTAATGAGGACAGGTTGCCGTTTATTTATAACCCTGTACTATTGTGCAATGAAATCAACCTATGGTTCTGGGACATGTGGCAGTTAGGTTTGTGAGGAATGACAATGGTGTGGAACAGATTGTGCAGCCCAGGCTTTATATACACTTTGTGTTTTGACTAGAGAACTTACATTATCTTTTTCTATCTAGTGTAGAATGTGTAGGTAGGCACACATTTCCTCCTTGCCTCACAATCCCATATGGCTCTTCATTGTGACATCATTCATCTCCTAAGAACACAGATTCTCCCACAGAACCACAGTGCAGTGATCACATGAAGGAAGTGCGACACTGATGCACTGCAGCTGTACAACAAGCATCCAGATTTATGTTTCCATACTTATGGCATTGATGTCTTTTCTGTCTTTTTCCACCACTCATGATCTCATCCAGGATCACCCATTGATGATCAAGACTCTTTATTCTCCTTACTCTAGAAAGATTCTCCTTCCTCTTTTTGTCTTTCACACTGTTGGCATTTTTGAAGAGTCCAGCCCCATTGTTACATAGTCTATCTCTCCATTTTGATTTGCCTGTTTTCTCAAGAATACTGCAGTATGCCAGATTACAAAAAAAAAAAACCCAAACAAACAAACAATCCCACACATTCTTGTTTGCATCTTATTGTACTGCTCCATGGGGTAGGAATGAGTGAGTGCTCTCTAAAGGGGCACCTGATAGCTCAGAATGCAAAGCTGGTTCTGCAAAATAACTGAAATAGATAAGAGTTTTGCCTGAGAAGCAGAGAATTCCAAATTATCAGAGAGGATGTGCACTTTTTAGGTTTTTTTAAAGGTTTCAGGCAAGAAAAATTGCTGGCTGAAATAACAAGAGCTTTCAATTCCTGGAACAACTGTGACTAATTGGAATTGACTTTCAAGGTTCCTCAAGGCCTCAGGAGCAAATAGTTGTAATCCATGAGTGAGATGTGACTTGGACATCTAAGGTGAGGGTAGGGCAGAGGCACTGGCTCCAGTGCACACTGCTCTGGTAAAGAGTGATTGTGGCCTTACCATCAGCTGCAAGCCATCCTTCTTTTTCTTACCCAATCTAGGCCAATTTCACTGACCATCCAGATACACACAGTGATGGGCACAAGAACTGACTAAACATTAGTAAGATTGTTCTCTTATGACTTCTGGTAAGCAGCCCTGTTTCTCCATAATCACAACTCATATACATACACTTCAATTTTATCCTTGTACTGATGTTTTAAAATGCATGAACTCTTCTCGTAAAGAACTATTGTTAAACAGTTTTAAAAATGCAGCTTCTGTCCTATTCACTAGTGGTGATCAACATTGTAAATGTAATGACAAGATTCACAGCTGATGAATTCCCTCCCAGGTATTAGGGCAACAACTTGGAAATCATCTGTACTGTCATTTTGGAACTTAAATTTGAATGTGGAAAAACCTTATGTTCTTGGAATTTAATTAAAAGTAAATAAAGAGGCTGTACTGTGAAGATTTTATTAGGAACAAATGACCCTCTGTTTAACTCCTTCCCATCCAGTCTTATGTTGGGAGTAAATTTCTCATCTTTGCCAAATATGCTTATCGTTCTTCATGTCTTTCCTAATAGAGAAGTGAAAAATTTATATGCTATGGCTTTCTTAGTTAATTCTGAAAACAGAGATGGTGAGTGGTTTGGCCATGCTTATCTCAGTTTTAAACAAGCAGCCTCTTTTTTAAATCAAATTTTGTACTGAGATTATTATAGATTTTCATCCATTTCTAAGAAATAATAAAGTATGTACTCTCTTGTACACTTATCTCAGTTTTCTCCAATGATAACCTTTTGCAAAACAATAGTACAATATTACAACCAGAAATCAATATTCATGCCATCTATTGCTCTTATTCAGAATTCCCAAGTTTTATTTGTACTCAATCATGCATGTGTGTGTTTAGTTCTATCAGTTTATCACATGTGTAAGGGCATATTTTTGTCCCAGCATTTCCACTCTTAGGAATATTTCCACTCTAGAAATATTTGCATATGTGTACAAAGCCATATGTACACAAATATGTACTGCAGTAGTTGTGCAGTTGCAAGAGAAATGGTAACATTCTGCTTGCATTACTAAAAAAAGTAAATACTTTTGGCACAAATGTGCAGTGCAGTAGTGAATAAAGAAAGGAGCATAGCTATATATGCTGAAATGGAAAGATCTCCCAGACAAAATGAGTATAAAAACATAGAACTTTATGATAATATAGTTACATTGATGTGAAAATGCAAAGGGATTGATGCATATATACACAGAATGCATTTAAAAATATGAAGGATACTGCCAGATGTGGTGAGGCACACCTGTAATTCCAGGACATGGGAGGCAAAGGCAGGAGGAGCCGGAGTTTGAAGCCAGCCTGGGCTACACTCCCCCCACCTCTCTCCCTCTTTCTCCTTCCCCTTCCTCATTTTCCTCTCTCCCTCCCCCTCCTTCTCTTCCCCCAGAGGCTACATTTTTGGCATTAAAACAAATCTACATTCACTTCACAGGCAGAGTATGCTTGAGCTAGCTCAGAGCCTTCTTCCATAGGGATAAAAACATCCTCTTCCACCTGGAAGAGAGGCGCAGTGTGAGTCTAGAGGTGACCATCATCTGGAAGCAGCACCCAGGGGTATGGTAGAAGATGCAAACTGGAAATTGAAAAGTCACATACATAGAAAGTCCAAATATTTTATATAGGCAAACTCATGAAACCTTAGCAAAACAACAATTTGTATAATTAATAATTGAAAGATAGCAGGTCTCTTTCCCACCCAATGTGACCCAGCAATTCATTTTTTTCAATTGCAATTGTTCATTTAAAATTTTAAAAATAATGTGGAGGAAGAGTGAAAATAGATCAAATGAAATCCTTGCAGCTGAAAGGAAGAAAGTAGAAGTCCTTTCCACTAGCCTGCATTTTTGTAACATATAGACACATTTTTCCACAAGACACTCCCAGCAAAATTGAAACCACTTGTGCAGATGGCCGGCCGAGCTGAGCATGTTACTGTGCAAGCAAGTTAGCAGGGAGGGCTGCTGCAAAACAAGTTCCCTCAGCTCTTGGATGCTGGGCTTGTCTCACCACCAAGAAGCTCCCAAGTAGCAAATAGCTCAACAGAGTGAGCAACTTTGCTGCAAGGGAGCTGTTTTTTTATTTTTTTTTTCTTCGGGCCACCCTGCTTCTGTCTCCAAAAGTTACAAAGTGTATTTCCTTCCTGATAAACTCCAAGGCTTCCCTCACTGATTGGTCTCAGTTTGGCAAAGTTGGTGACATCAGCAACTTTGGGGACTTGGGGCTGGGGGGCTGTTGTGGTCTTTAGTCTGCCTCCAGACAGCTAGGTAGAGAGACAGAGAGAGAGAGTGAGAGTGTGTGTGTGTGTGTGTGTGCAAGCGTGTCTGTCTGACCACAGGTAGTGCTTGGATTACCCTGTCTGTACTGCTCTCTCTGCTGCAGATCGACTGACCAGGACGTGTGCACTCACCCAGTTCCAGAACTGGAATTTCTCAGGAGGACGGGGAGCATGGAATTTGGACATCTGTGAACGACTGAAGTGGAGCGTAGAACTTGCTGGCCCAGGAGAGTTGCCATGGATGGTGAACGAAGGGGCAGGAATGGCAGCAAGCCTTCAAAGCCAGGAAGCTTTCCTGATACCAGATTCCTTGCAAACCCACTGATGGGGGGTGAGTCATAGGGGCTGTGAAATCAGAGGGCTGGGGAGGATGGCTAAAATGCTTAGGAGAGAAGAGGTTCTGGGCCTCAGTGGGTCTGTCTGAGGTGCATCCATGCTAGTTACTGGACAGATGTCCACAGCTTGCTGGTATATCTCCTTTGCGTGATTATTCAAAATGTGTACCCCTCTACCTGTAGAGTCCCATAGATAATATAAATCGAACTATCACAGATGATTCTCCAGGGAACACTGCAGCTTCAAGAAATTGTTCTTTGTGGTTCAAATATATTACTTATTAAATAGGCTTAAAAGTTACTTATAAATAGGAAAATGTTTGACATTAAAATATTTCTTTTATTGAAAGGTATCTTAGGTATTTGGCATTTAGGTGGCTCTAACTTTATAAATGATGCTCAAACATTAAACTGATTGATTCACTTTAAAAGGAGACCATTTTTAGATTTGAAGAGGTTTCTGACAGGTATGAACCTCAACTGCCAGTTGGTGTCTGCTAGTGTATAGAGTGCTATGCATTCGGTCACTGTCACTCTCTTGTGAGCATTTAGCCGGTACCTGATGGCTGAAAGGATTCTGAAAAATGGGTCAAGCACTCAAGAGATCATGTCATCCAGTACCCTGGTAGAATGCCCACAATACTTGTCAATTAACAGGACTCTGAAGTCATCTAGGACTTATTAATCTCTTACTGCACAGGTACCGAAAAGGCAAAAAGGAAAAAAAAACACCTTACTTCTGATTGAGCAGACAAGTCTGCTCATTCATTCATTTGTTTATCCAATTTTGCTCAGGAAAGCAGCACAGCACTCAATGGTGAGGAAGATTTGTATTTCCAAAGGTAGGACTGAATTAATCAGTATATATTGAGCACATATTTGGAGTACTAAGAAAGCAGAGTGACACCAAGAATCCCTTTAAAATAAAAGAATTTAAAAAATATTTTTAAAGCACCAAACAATCATTATAGGAAATAAAAATTTGGTTGATTTCACATTTATCTTACAGCTAAGTATATTTTTATTGTATTTGCTTCTCCAAAGGTTCTAAATCAATCCTGGGTGTGGCAGGACAGGGGGGTAGAAGTGGGAAGATGTTACATTTAAGAAAGTGGGCACATTATTACAACTAGAATGCAGAGTATTTGGGGGGAAGGAGTGTAGTGAGAGTAAGTTTGGAGATATAGAGCTGGTTGATGAAGCATTAATAGCTATAGGGAGGAATTGTACCTTCATGAATCAGGGAATTGGAAGTCATTGATGGTTCTGGAGCAGAGACCTGGCAATAATGAGGCTGTAAGTAAATTAATATAGTATGCACAGTTAGGAGAGACTTTGGTGGCATCCCAGGTGGTTGCTTCACTGGTTCTCGAACTCACATGCCTCATGTGATCTGGAGCGCGTGGCAAAATGCAGGCGAGGCAGTTTCTGTTGAAGTGGTAAGTGTGGAGTGAGGCCTGGGATCTCTATTCCCAGCAAGCCCCCAAGTGATGTTGACAGGGATAGTCAGGAACCACACTTTGAGGACCACTGTGGTAATCCAACCATGAAGCTTATGTTGGGATCACATTTTGGAAATAACAGAAAAAAGGTGTTTATTTCAAAGAAAAGAGAAATCAGACTATGCTGCTTGATTAAATATTTGGGCTAGAGGAGAGAAGACAGCCTAAATTGTAAGTTATCGATCCAAAATTAGTGTCAGATAGAAGAGCTAGATAGGAGGGAGGCTGGGAAGGAAAGTTTGCTTGAGAGTGGAGTAAGGAAGAGGGGACGTTGGAGTTCTGTTTTGAACATAAAAGTACCCATAATTCTGCCCAGTGCATAGCATGATGATATGGGACTGAGGTTGGGAATGAGTACAGGTTGGGAGTCAGAAACCTCAGAATGTTCTGTAGAGGAGCTGTGGTTGAAACCCAGTGAAAGGAGAAATTTTCTGCTGGCCAAGAATTAAGAGCCAAGGATGGAGCCTTGGGACAGTCAAGGACATAGGACCAGTGAGTTGGACAGAGAAGCAGGAAGAAATTTTGGATGTTGTAATCACACAGGATATAAGAGAAGTTTTTAAAGAACTAAAAGTTATAAGGGTAGATACCTGGATGCCTCTGCTTTCTTACCTTCTTCTGTTAATCAGAAAGATAACCTCCTACTCATCTTCCACACCCAGCTGAGCAAAGTCGTCCTAGGCTTTCTCCCTCTACCTATCCAAGCGGAGTCATTCTCTCCTTGCTTTGCACCAGTCTGGTACCTTGGTTAAAACTTCAGTTACAGCTGGTTGCATTTGTTTATGCTTCTGAAGTCTTGACCTTGGTGAAGTGTGGAATGTGAAACACTCAGAATGCTGTTTCCAAATGGCAATGCCAAGAAACTCAGCCCAGGTGAAGCATGTTCCCTGGCACAGAGACAAGTCAGAGGGAAAATACAGTGGGGAAAAGTTCATGTTGGGGAATTTTGCTGCTCCTGCCTCCACCTGTAGATTTTTTCTCTGGCTCCTTGTCCAGAGGGAAGGAGGAAAGTATATGAAGATGGGTAGCCAACTCTTTTATAGAGATTTGCTTTCTGCTGACTCTCCTGTTCCAGGGGCAGGGAACAAGGTACTTTTACCCTGAAAGTACCTTGTTAGGAATTGAATTGTGTCCCCCTCCCCCAAAGATACATTGAAATCCTAACCGCTATGCCTCAGATTGGGACCTTATTTGAAAATAGGGTCATTGTGGATATAATTAGTTAAAATGAGATCTCACTGCAGCAGGATGGACCCTTAATCCCACATGGTTGGTGTTTTTATAAGAAAAGGAGAGGAAGCATACAGGGAGAAAGCTATTTGACAACAGAGGCAGAGACTGGAGTGAAGCATCTACAAGCCAAGGAACGCCAAAGAAAGTGTCAAATGCTAGAAGCAAAAAAGATGAGGAAAGATTCTTCCCTAGAGCCTTTGGAGAGAGCATATCTTGCTGATTTCAGATTTCTGTTAGAGTTCTAGCTTTTAGAACTGTGAGACAGTACATTTCTATTGTCTTAACTTTCCTAGTTTGTGGTATGTTGTTATTTCAGCTCTAAGGAATGAGTTCATATTTACTTACAAACATTTTGGAAAATACATTGAAGTATAGAGGTATTTCTTTCTTCACAAAATTGATCCCACCCTGTAGAAGACAGTTTTCACATTTAAACAGAAGACAGGCAAGAATAAGCACTGAAAGGAAACAATTGCATTGTTTAGTGATGAAGTTTTAGATATTGGGGTACCTCAGAAAGGGGCTATTTTGTGAAGAATCCTGCCTGTTTAAACAGAATAGGTGATGATATGAGGTCCTTATGATGAATGGAAAGAGGGGGCAAAGGTGGGGGACAGGGTGGGAGGAAAGGTAGAGAGGAGAGGCTGGAAGATAGAACTGAATAAAGAATTGCAACGGATGGGACCAACTTGCCCAAGAGTTATCTTAGTGGACCTTTCTCTTTGCTTGCTTCTGACTTTAAGTCTTCAACTCTCTCTCTTCTTTCTCCCTCCCTCCCTCTCCCTTTCTCTCTCCCCAGTCTCCCTCCTTTCCTTTCTCCCTCTCTGTTTGTCCTGGAATCAAACAAAGGTTCACTGTGATTGTTAACACAGCAGCAGATCCTCTCCGATGTTGGCTTATGCTACTGAATCCACCAATACCATGTCCCAAAGACTGAAGGCAGATTTCCCACACACCTCCAGAACAACTAAACTTCTCTGTTTTTCCTCTTGATCTTGAAAAATGTTTCCTAAGGTGGATAGATTTATACTACTGCCCAACATTCAGTGGAGCTCTCAGAGCTTTGTTAATGGCTCTTTTCAGAATGTACCAATTAGTGCATTTAAAAACTCTCCTGAAATAATGGAAATTTTACAAATCATTCCAGAAAGTACAATAAAAATGAAATGGCAGCCTTCCTAATGTGCTGTACTTTTGACAAACATTTTCTTAAAAAAAAAAAAAAGGTGAGTTTAATAGCACTAATTGGAAGACTTGTAGAATGGCCTCGTTACAAGAGTTCCCTGCTTCATTTTACCTATAATCTACACCATTGGATCCATGATGTTACTAGTGACCTCATTTGGCATCTATTTTATGGCAGCAAAACCAATAGACTGGCCGAGTAAGTGTTGGGAAAGAATCCTTAATAAGTGCAAGGACTTGTACAATGTGTTACATGCAGATAACGATGATGTGTTTCAAAGACATTGGAGGAGTCGATAGAAAAGGGTATTGTAACCTTGAGTTTCCCCTTTATCTATTAGATGCTCATCTACCATGAGCATCATCCATATTCTGTGGAGAAAGTAGGTCTTCTTCTCTGCTCATTCTGCTCTTTTCAGCTGCCAGTTAACAGGAAGGCAGGTGAGGCTGCTTTCAGGTTTAACTGGGCATGTGTTGATCCTACAGCTGCTTGAAGTATGGGCTCTGGAAATGCCAGGAGAAGTGCTTACAGGTACTCCCAGGCAGACCTTCATTTGGGTTTCAGCTCTCTCTTCAGTGTTTTCCACAGCAAAAGAGTGTGTGTGGACCAATCCATGTTGGAAGTTGCGGTGCTTATTGAACTCTGTGTGTGTGTGTACACACATGAATGTGCAATCTATGCTACCTGAATGTTATGAAAATGTTAACATGTTAACCTACCCATTGTCACTGTTCAAGGTTTTATATAATCATTCAATTTTCTAAGACCTGCCAATGCTAAAGTCCTTGTATAAATTTAAGATGGATTTGGTCTTTACCAAGAGCCGATGTCTTTCTTCTGGGTAGGAGCATAGGAATACTGTGACAAACTTAATAAATCTTAAACTGAAATGACTTTTAAGTTAGAAGGGGAAGCTTCCTACATTGCTGATGGAAATATAAAATGGAAAATAGTCTCAA